CCTGGGGGCGCGGGCCCGCTGGCAGGAAGGTGAAGTGCCTGGCACGTGAAGGAGACGCCTGCCACCTTCCCCCTCGCCCCCGTGCCTTTTTTTGTACGACTGACCCCGCCGCCCCGGGGCAGCGCCCCCCTCTCCCCTTCTTCTCTAGCGCGCTGGCTCCTCCCCACCGTAGTATTTCTGTTACTGGAACGCAGCCTAGAGTTGGGTTAGTTTGTTTGCTTGAGCGGAGGGTACCGCAGCCAAGAAGGGTTGGGTTTTTTTGTGTTTTTATGTGCTGCTCTCAATAAAAAAATTTTTTTTTTTTTTTTGGTCTTTGTAAGACACTGCTCTGAGCTGCCTCCGCGTAGTTCCCAGCAAGGACCGGGGGCTGGTTATGGGTGCGTCTGTGTCGCCAGTGTTTTCCCTCAGCTACCGGCCTTGGCCGAGGCTCAAGGAGCCCCAGCACAACCCTGGCGCCGGGCTGTGGAGCAGTCTGGCTGGCCGTACACCTCCGTGGGCTTGTAGAGAGGATGGAGCCGAGCTCCTCCAGGAGGAGGACCGGGGCTGGATGATGGGCCCAAGTTGCAGAAGGGAAATTTGCAGTGGGACCTAGGGAAAATACTTGTCCCCTGGAGGTGGTGGAAACCCTGGGACAGTCCCAGAGGGGCTGTGGGATCTTCCCCTCTTGGAGATGCTCCACCCTTTACCAGACAAGCAACCTCATCCAGTTTGCCATGCTTTGAGCAGGGATGGACCAAACGTGTCCGGGAGCCCCTTCCCACCTCTGCTACCCCAAGAGGTTATGAAAATGCTGGAGAGTCACGTGAAAGTTTGTGCGGGGAGGGGGAAGAGGCTCATTTCTTGGTGTGTGCTAACCAGCTCTGAGTTGAACTTGGCCCTGGGATCGAGGGGCTAGCTGGTACAGTCCGGGTGCGAGCAGGCTTGCTGACTGCAGGCCAGAGTTACTGGAAGCGTCCATCCGGCTCCAGGAGCTTGCGATGATGGTCTTACTGCGAACGGTAGCTGCCGAGGCTCCTTGAGCCAAGGGCTCTGGCCAAGATAAGCTGCCGCTGTGGCCAGCTGACGGGCCCCACTCCCCACCAGCCCTGGTCCTCCTTCACGCAGCGGGCTCGGCGGGGGGGTTTTTCCCCCCACCCCCCCCCGGGTTATTGCCCCCTACCCCCCCACACCCCTAAGCCCTTGCTGCTTCCATAGCCTTTGTGCAGATGGTCTGACCGCAGCCTAGGGCTGGTGGCACCGTGCATGCAGCGGGGGGAGCCCATGCAGGGTGGGGGTCTCGGGACATGCCTTGCCTCCCTGTTGCAGCTCTGCATCCCTCATCTTTGCTGCTCACCTCCTGGGCCTTCCCAGCATGCCCACAAGGCTTTTGAGATATATGCAGGCGCTGCTGCATGTGCCCTTCCCCAGCTTGCGGGTGTCGTCCCCCGTGCATTTAGGTGCATTCGATGTGCTTTTGCTCCATCTTTCCAGTCTGTCACGTTGCTGTGGACTTTCCTTCCTGCATCTCCTGCAGGATGGCTGTGTGTGTTGTGTGATCCTACAGCTGAGGCACCAAGAAGTGCGTTTCTGATTGCACATCCCCATGATATTTATTACCCCTTGAGCACCTCTTGCCCCAGAAATACTCCCAGCTGGTTCATCAACTGCTTGGTTGGGCATTTTCAGGTAGCTCATACCAGAGAGCCTGGCACTAGATTCCTCTAGCTGGACTAGTGCTGCAACATCTCACCTCATGCCTCACCAGGGATTAGCTATTTCTTGCTGGCCGTTGGTGCTCTGCCTTGGAGGCTGCCTGGGACTTTAGAGGGAGCTGTACAGCATCCGCCGACAGGCCAGCAGCGAGTGCCGTCGAGGCTCTGCCCTGGAAGAAGGCCACTGGCATGTCAGATGCAACCAGCAATCCCTGGTCCTCTGCGGTTGCAGCTGAAGAACAGAGGTGCCCAGGACCACTGGGCTGACAGTCTCACTCTGCTGGCCTTGTGCTTGCGGCTGTCTCTATTTCCTGGGAGCGGGGACAACGTGGCTGCAGAGCGCAAGTCATGTGAAAGGCGTCAGGATGTGGGGCTCAGCTCTACCCCAGCACATCTTGTGGACACAAGTGTCTATTTACCACATGGCCCAGATCCAGCGGCTACAGGGAGCCACCCCAGCAGGAAAGACATCGACACTAAGACAAACCCCCAGGCCCCAAGGGTGCAGAAAGATAGAGCAGGTGGGAGCATATATTTTTGCGAGTGATGTCATGAAAAAGCTCCGTATCCTTGGGGACAGCACAGATGTTGGCCAGACTAATTGGAAACAGTGGGCTGAGTAAATACAGGCCCAGCTAAATGGGGAGCAGGGAATCAGCACATCCCACTGAGGCCCCTGCAGGAGACAGGGAAGACTCAGACAGGAGGGGGGCTCCCACTGCTTCGGCCCAATTTGAAGTAATGACATCTTCAAAAACATCGGGGAAGGACAATAACCGGAGTGGCATCTTGCAGCACCCAGGGCCACAAAGAACAGCATGGCTGCATCAGAACACAGGTCTACCCAGTGGACCACCAAAATGTGTGGCCAAAAATTAACATTTAGGGAAAAGGCTAGGACTTGGCAAGCAGGTACACAGCATCCCAGCCGCCAACTATCTAAAGCGCGATAACCTCTGAACCAGGTGTTTCCGGTAGCCCTTGATGATTTCTCATGCCACAAGGTTATCCAAGCTGCCCTTAAGCCTGTGCATACTTAGGCACCACAGCACCCTGGGGCGACGTGTGCACAGATTGCTATGCAGCAGGGAGAAGCATCTCTTTCTTGTTTGCTTTGATTCCACCTGGTGCCCTGTGGCTCTTATGCAGCTGTCTCAGGGCCCTGCAGGTGCAATAATGGACCTTAACCACCCTGAACAGTTTCACCTGGGACCCACACCCTCTGCCCATGGCCCATGAGCTGCATTTAAGCTCAGGCCCAGGCACTCACTCTTGCTTTGAGCAACCTCATAGGTGGACTCATTCTCAGCCTTGTCTCTAGCTGCCTCCTGGATTGACCTTAGATCCACATTATAGCCTTATTCCTGTTCTTATCTTCTAACTTGGCTCCCTGGATGGACCCTGGACCTGGTTCACCACTTGCCATGTCTGGGCTTGTTGATGGACTATGTTGCCAGCACCTGACTCTGCCTGACCTGCTCAGGTACTGTGGGATTTTGCCCATTGGTGAGGGCATAGTCTGTGCTGGGTCCTCTTGTCCTCCCTTGAGGAGCAGCTCTGCTCATGCTGCTCCCGGGCAGCATGTGCAATGGTTGGAGGAGTTCTTCTGCTGATTAAAAAATAAAGTAAAGAAAGACCCAACCCACATTTGATATGTGCAGTAATGGCTCCAATCTAGATGTTGCTGCTTACCATCCAAAGAGATGTGGATGCTAGAAGGTGAGAATAGCTACCTGCATTCAGCAGCCATTTGAGAAGTAGCTGTAGTATCAGGATGGAGACCCATTTTGGGGTTAGTACAGCGTGTGCTGAAAAAGGGAGTGAGAAAGGGCTTTTGTGCATGTTACAGTGGCCTAGAAAAGAAGTGCTAAGGGAAGATGGAGGGCTATAAAATCTCAAGGGGCATGGGGTTGCTGAGAGACAGATGCTGTCCAGTCTTGCATTTGCGTAGAAGAGCTGGGGATTGCTTTCTCCTGCGTGCAGTGGACTGTAGGAGTGTGATGTCCATGTCAAGGGTCTGTTGCAGGCTGGGAGAAGCCAGTAAGAAGGACTAGGGAAGAGCTATCTATACCAAAGGCAAAAAAATGTGCAACTCCCGGCTTTGCTAGGGGCAGCCAGGGAAGCTAGAAGAGCCTCTGGGAAAGGACTAGGTGCATTGGGGTGTTGCACCCCAGTAGGGCATTAAGGTGCATGTTTCTTCCACCCCTGGCTTTGGGCTCGGTGCACTGGAGAAACACAGAGACTCTGCATTGTGCCTTGTGCTGTTGCTGCGAGGGGAGGAGCCTGGTGGCATGGGGACTGGGGCTGTGCCCCTTCTCCAAGGGGAGGCCATGTGGCCGGCTCATGGCTGGCTGCGGTCGTGCTGGGGGCAGCAGGGCCCCTGCTGCAGTGGAGCTGGTCTAGGCAGCAGCTTGTCTGGGGGGATCTTTGGAGGTAACCGAGGGAGAGGCTTTTATGGCACAGCGCCATGCTCTGTGCCCATGGCTGGGTAGACAGGGGGTTAGAAACGTGAGTTGTGTGAGGGGGTGCTATAAACCAGAGCCGCCTGAAAAATGAAGTGGGATTGTCGAGCGGCCAAAAATCTTGGCCACTGACAATCTAGGGTCTGTGCTGCTCTCCCCTGCCACTGAGCGCTAGTGTGGCTAGGGCCACTGAAGACTTGTTCTGTGGGTGGTGGCCTGGGCGCAGGGCTTGCCTCTGACCTCTCCAGAGAGATTTGCTTCCCAAAAAAGCTCAGAGGCAGCTCAGCTGCTCTGGTCCCATTCAGCAGACAAGTGAGACAAGGGAAGCATCCCCAATACTAGGCTAGGGAAGAAGGTGATGGCAGCAAGAGAAGAACCAGCCCCAAGCGAGGCAGTTATTGCCTCCGCAGCCTCAAGAGGCAGAGGCTTCCCCTTGGGCTGCAAGCAAGGGCCTGGGGGAGGCACGCAGGCGGGACCCCCCAGTCCTGGCGTATGGAGTAGGCGCAGGCTCCTGCCAAGCAGGGGGCCCGGCCCAGCCCTGGCTGTCGGATCCCTGCGCCCGCTTCGCTCATCCTAGCGGGCGCCTCTGGCTGCGCCAAGGGGCTTGCTGACCCTTCCCAGCCTGGCGGGACACGGCAAGGCCCCGGCTCACCTGGGCTAGGTACAGCGGCTTTGCGCTCCGCTTGGAAGGAGAGCGGCCAGGGCATGTGATGGGAGGCATGTGAGTCCCCACAGCCCTGCTGGGAGCTATAAATGGCATGTGCGCTCACTGGAGGAGCATGGCTGGCAGGGAGCGGGCTGGGGGGCGGAGGTCTAGTTTTGCAGCGACTCCCTCGCTCTGTAGGAGGTTGGCCCTGGGGAGTGGGAGACAGCTGTGAAGGCTGGCGGCAAGTGTGCGCGTCCGCTGAGCGCCGGGGGCAGGCTGTGCAAGCTGGGAAACCCTTGGTGGGGTGCCCGGGAGGCAGAAATGAGCCTGTGGCAGGGCTAGCGCTGGCAGAGGGGAGCCCTTGCTCTGCCTCCTCGTTGCGGTCTGCAGGACAGGGTGCGGGAGAGCCCTTCTTTCACCAAAGGATGCGTTTCTATGTGCGTGCTCACAGCTTTGTTCTTGCCTCCGAACTGAGCGTTTGCTCTCGATGTGGGGCCGGTCCCCCCTGCACCCTTGCTGACCCATGTCTAGCCTGCCCTGCGCCCTGAAATCAGCCTGCTGGCATGAGCTGTCCCTCTAATGGAGGTCCTGGTTCACCCCTGCGCTGAGGATCTGGCTTGCAGCACCTACTAGAAATACTCCAAGCTGCAGGGGTGGTGGTGGTGGTGGAAGTGTCCCACTGAGGGCAGCACCAGTGCCACCCTCTCCGTCTCGACAGGGGCACGGACCGTCTGTCCCGGCTGAGGGTGGCTGCACGACAGGCGCCCTGCGCTCCCCTCCTGGGACCTGGAAGGTAGCTGCAGCCCGTCCTGTTAGACGTAGGGACCCTTTTCCTTTGACCACGCTTAGGTAAGGTGCGTTTTGGTAAGGCCTGCCTGGTCCTGGGCCCCGCAAACCTGCGTGCACCAAGGCGGCCCCACTCTCCGGGCCTCCCCGGGCAG